AGGTGCTTCATAATATGCTAGTTAGGATGAAACCTTGGAATAGTTAATATTTGCTTGTATAATAGAGAACACATAGATCCATGGTTTATAGGGTTGCATGTACACCATAGGAGTGTTAGAATGCTCAAAACCCAACAGTATTGGCTACAAGCAGAGTGATATTGACCACACGTTGTTTGTCAAGAACAATGAAGGAAAAGTTACAGCCCTTATTGTTTATGTCGATGACATGGTAGGGACAGGCAATGATGAAGATGAAATGAACAAGTTAAAAGATGTGTTGGGTGCTGAGTTCGAGTTAAAAGACCTGGGAAAATTGAAATATTTTTTAGGTATTGAGGTGGCGAGATCCAGTCGAGGTATTACCATGTGTCAGCGAAAGTACACTCTTGATATTCTCACAGAGACAGGAATGTTAGATTGTCAACCCATTGATACGCCGATTGAAAAAAATCATGGGCTGGCTCTTCTCTCCAACAAAGCTCCAACAAATAAAGAAAGATACCAGAAACTAGTTGGTAAACTTATCTATTTATCCCACACTCGACCGGATATTGCATACGCTGTGAGTGTAGTAAGTCATTTTATGCATGCACCAAATGAAGATCACATGAAAGCAGTGATTAGAATCCTACGCTATCTTAAGTCATCCTCGGGAAAAGGTTTGTTTTTTTCTAAAACTGGAAGTCTTGAAGTGGAAGGATATACTGATGCTGATTGGGCCGGAGATAAGTCGGATGGGAAGTCAACATCGGGGTATTTCACATTTCTTGGAAGGAACTTGGTAACTTGGAGGAGCAAGAAACAAAAGTTGGCAGCACGCTCGAGTGCTGAGTCAGAATTCCGTGGGATGGTGCATGGTGTTTGTGAACTTCTGTGGATCAAAAGAATTATGCGAGACCTGGGTTTTGAAGTAAGGAAATCTATGAACCTTCATTGTGACAATCAGGCAGCAGTGAAGATTGCTAATAACCCAGTACTCCATGATCGAACTAAGCACGTGGAGGTAGATCGACATTTTATAAGAGACCACTTAGAAAAGGGAACAATCAAGCTACCACATGTTAAATCAAAGGATCAGTTGGCGGATATGTTAACTAAAGCAGTGTGTAAAAATGTTTTTTACAGCTCTCTTGACAAGCTGAGAATGATTGACATCCATTCATCATCTTGAGGGGGAGTGTTGGCGAGACCTGTAACAAGAATCAAGCTAAGTTTGGATATTATTGATAAAATCTAATATTCATAGAAAGTATTGTATGTCCTATCTAGTCTGTATATAGCTCCTTATTACGTGGGGTTTCCTGTTGCACTGGTCCTATATTTGTATCTCATTGTAATTGTGAATAAGATGAGTGAAAACATTCTATCAAATTCTCTGTTTTACACTAACTATCTCTACCATCAACTTGAATGAGAGTCTTTGTCCTTTGCTTGGGTATTAATATAGAAGATACATATACGTTTGTTAATTTTGTGATTATAGGTGTTTTTACATGTACGTAGAAAGTGATTATTACAACTTGAAGAGAGAAAAATGTCTTTCATTGAAATTGTTATTTTGAATCTAAAACATGAAATGTATATGATGTTTTATATGGTTAGACTCTTTCCTTTTTTACTTTGTTATTTTTGTCAAGAAATTTGAAGTGTCAAAATTCGTTTATGTCTAATAAAATATAATAGTTGTAGAATTTTTTTTTTTTTGTTTTTATTAAGGGGCATGTGCTTTCTTTCCCTTTTACCATTTGTATATCGACACCTTACAAGTACTTGATATTTCCGGTGCTACTAAACAAAGAAAAAGGAAAGATAAGTTGCTATCAAGATATAGCCTTAGCCCCGTTTTAAATTTGTCCATCATAAAAAATATAAGGTTTTATATCATAAAAAAAACACACATTTGTATTAGGTTAACACTTCAAAGTTTTTAAACAAATTAATATTTTCAAATATATCATTGATGATTACAATTTTTATAGTCTATATGTTATTTTAGTTTGTGAACCATAGATTCAACGGGCTATAAATTTGTTATTGATGAGAATACGTAACTTTTACTAAAGTGTAAAGACAACTAACCAACTATTATTCTTTTAATTTTAGAATTGTGCTTCTGAGACGGGATAGAATGTAGCTTCTTCAACTTTAGAAAAATCAACCGCCACGAGTCCTATTAAACTGCTAAATAACTCCATTGATCTAAAACGAAATTTGTATGAAGTGTATGATGTTGATTCACCCGATGTTCTATCAACAACCAAGCCAAAACGATTGTCAAGCGGTGAGAGCAATCCTCTTTTGGTCCCAAAGAAGGAGAAATAGAGTGTGATAGTGTTTTTAAAGAGTCTTGAATAATTTGGCATTTGTGTGTGGGAGATTTGATAGTTTTTGATATTTTGGATAATGGTTTTTTGATGGTTCTTGATTATTTTTTAGACTTTCTCAAATTTGGAACAAGTATGATGTTGGTTTTAAGGTATTGAAGTTTTTCGAATACATAATTATTTGTTTAATTTTAATGTCATTCTTAGTATACTTTTTATCATATAAAGTACAAAAAATATAATTTTTTAGCTCAAAACTAACATTTATGCGCTTTTCGTCAATTTAGTCATTTTCACCATTTTTAAGCTGAAAAATATTTTTACATATTTATTTGAATCAACGATTACAATTTATTTAAAATAATTGATTAATACTTATGAGTTTTTACGATAAAAAATTAATTATAAAAAACAACCGTGGTTCCCACATGCTATAACCTAGGGTGGAATTGGTACGGTACCGGATATTTTTTCCCCAAACCGTGTACCGTACCAATTATAATTGGTATGTAATTTTAGTTACCACTACCGTACCAAGTACAG